AGGGGGAGGGAGGGGGAGGGGAGGGGGAGGGAGAGAGGGAGAGAGAGAGAAGTAGTTTTGATGCGAAAACGTGAGCAAAAAAAAATATGTAACGAAAATACTCGTAATCGTAAACACATTACGCGCGGTCGCGGACAGGTAGAACGACCCGTTGAAAAACGCGGCACGGAGAGATTCATGGGGAGCACGACGTGTCGGCATTATTGCTCATTTGACCCGGCGCGCATCGGAAAATAATGTAGAAAATTGTTTTGCGGTCTTTTTATCTCGATTTCAGGGACGCCGGTCAGCGTGCGGGGCTGACGGGTGCTTTGTCTGTTTCCCATCAATCACGTGGACCTTTTCACCGTGCGGATATCGGGCCTGCCCGTTTTTGCGTGCGGTGCATCCCGCTCGATTGCAATCGCGGCGAATTATTGAATCTGCTGCATCTCGTCCGACCGGATTAGGTTGCACGCGCGGATGGCTCGATACACGATTGCGATTTGTTCATTTTGTCGCGGAGTGCCGTAAGGATATATTCGAGTGCGACGCGTTTTTAAGAAATGTTATTAAGAAATGTTGCGCTATAAGATACTTCGGGCCGGTTTTCACGCCATGATATTGATAATTGATAATAGTGAGATAATTTGACGCGCAATGCGTCAGATAATTATTGCTTTGTTTATAATTGTCGTGCAACATACAAGGCATACAAGAATTCGAGCACTTCCTGTTGGAAAATTATCATGTTTTATGAGCGAATTATCGCAGAATTATCGTCATCGCGGAAATAAGAGAGTTGATAATTTCCAGCATATTTATATAATATATAATCACAGAAAGAGAGAGAGAAAGAGAGATTACTTTGCACTTACCAGATTGAACTCCGCCAAGTGTCCCCAGCGAGAATCTACGCCGATCGTAGAACAAGAGAATAAATCGATATCGTGGAACGGCTGATATTACTTTATTTGATGATGTACTTAAACAATGAATGATTTTGATTAAGGCCAGTCACGCGTACATACAACGTTGTCGAGCACGACTCGTGGAGCTCACGAACGATAATTATACAATGAAATTTTTTCCCACGATTATATGTATATATCGATATCGCGTCGCCTTGAACGACAACGGCATTGCCTCGTGAAAAGGAGACAACGGCTCGACGGGGTGACTCGGCCGGGATTCGAAGTCCTTAGGGTGGTAATATTTACAACGCGAGCTACTCAGAATTTTCGCTTGTATCGGGGAACTAAACGTTGACCTACCACACGAGTATCTTTTTACGTGTCCTTTTCTGAGGTTTCCTCGTCGTCAAAGCGCTTTGTTTCAAGGCGACGATCGGGAAGAGTGAATTCGGAATCGCATCCTGATCAAAGAAACTTATTCTTCAGGATTGTAAGATGGCGTGTCGTTCCGCGACAGCGACAGGCTCGTGTGGTTGATGAGACGTTTAGGAGATTCCTTGAGTATTCTTAACCAGAATGACAAGAGGGGGGTAATGCTTAACGCGTACTTGCAACATTATTAACCTAGATAATTAATCGGACATTATTATATATTTACATACTATATGCGAACGTAAACCCTGGTTAGTCCTCGAGTCCATGACAGTTCTTAGAAACGACACCGCGACGGGCGAGTGATATACAGGTAAAACTCCGACAAAAAGGTTGGCGCGAAAACTTGACGATTAATTTTCCAAGCGGAGGATTCAATCGCCGCGCGACGCCCGAACGTCCGACTGGACGTATCCCGTCTGTCCCTCGACAACTTAACGATGATGATATATCGCTTAGCGTTGCTAAACTAATCTCTGTAACATCGTGCAAGCCCTGTCTGTGGGATTAGTCTTGGTTCATCGAGATAAGATTAATCAACGTTCGCTGCGTTCTCAGCGAAGGTCATTCTTTTGCGGACGAGGGAAGACCGCGCGCCGTGAGATTTGTCTAGATTTGAAGTAAGCTCGACCTGCGGTCTCGCGACGAGCCAACGACTCCTTTTCTCTTCCTCGTTTCTCGATCGTCGAGTTCGTGAAAATTGCCAGGCTCGAAGGATATCGCGCAGAGACGCGCGAACGCGCTCTTTCGCTCCGCGTCTAATTCTTAATAAGGTCTCCACACGTGCCTAGGCTTCGGACTTCTCTCTCTTCGCGTTCTAACGGCTTCTCTCTCCACGTCTATCCCTTCGTCCTTCCTTCGCGTCGTCAGATCTTGACCGATATTTTCTTTGTCCTGGCCCTTCTTCGTACTAAGATCCACTGTGCCCTCCAGGCGAATTTTCACGGTTAGATCGCCGCGACGGGCTATCTGATCCTGATCGATTTGTAGTTCCGAGTCGTTTAGATTTTCTATGCTCGGTCGTAAACGAATCGACGACTCCTGAAAAGTGGCGTCCGTGGACGCGGCGTCTTCCAGGTCGCTTCTAATCGGCGAGATTCTCGGGGAATCTTGTTCGGGGAGGGATTCATCGCTCCTGATGCGGTCTCTATTCAGATCTTGATCGTTTCTGTCGTCCACTTCGATGCTGTCATCCGGACTGTCCAATCCGGACCGGCGCGAGATCCCTTGTTCGTCTCCTCTCCGTTCTTCGTCCTTCGTACTGCTTTCAGGACTGTCGCTACTGCTTCTGAGCTTCCTGAGTTCCTCCAGACGGGCCTGATCCGGCCTCTGCAGTCGTTGTTGCGCCATTCTCAAAGCCAAAGCATGCCATTCCGGTTCCAAAATATATTGTTGCGTGTGGTACAAGGGATTGTAGAGCCACGAGGACTGCGGCAACAACGGCGCGAATATCGACCCGAAGATGGATCCCGTGGCGCCCAATAGATGAAGACCTGTTACGAACAAGACGACGCGTTAGCTTTTGTTCATGTATATGTTCACTTGTACATGTATATGCGCGTATATGTATGCGGGGGGACCCACGTCGCCGAATAGACCTCGGGTCGGGAGTGTCTGGACTTTTACCTTGAAAGTGTGAGTGATGTCCAGACGGGCTAGGCGTCGTGGTAGTAGTGGTGGTCGACTCGGCGGGAGGCGTCGGCGCCGTCACGGAGGCCGTCGTCAGCAAGCCCGGGCCGGGGTTACCGGGTGACGTTGTCGGCGTTACTTCCCGCACCGACACACTGATGGGGCCCAGGTCGCTCCTCGTGGATTCTTTCGGACACACGAATTTACACAGCTGTTAATCGTTCGTTCTCACCGAGGCAAACGGCGCCCTCACTTAAATGAGACGCGTCCCCGTTCTTTAAAGACTCTTTAGGCGCGACTCGAACTTTCCGCGAGAGTTTCTTTTCTCGCAAAACGATCATGCATCTTTACCGGTATTAGGTCCGGGCAGCCTCGGGGATCTTTGTTCGATGGCGTGGTGGAAGGGATTGAAAGCCGACGCACCAACCGGCTGTGGGTGTGTGTGCGGATGGTGGCCGGGCGGCGGTGGAAGACAGTGCGGTGGTAGAGATCCTCGGGGTAACCCGCCCCAACCCTGGCCCGCACCTTGCTCCAGACCCAGGTGTTGCAATCCTGTGCAATCAAAGAAATGCAGATTATGCGTTTCCGGGGATTCTGTTTGCACGGCGTGTCTCCGCTGTCACCGCGCACCGCGTTGACCTCTATATCGCCCCGAAATATTTGCCGTTGCTGACACTTTCCCCTTTCTCTTTCTCTCTTTCTTTCTCTCTCTCTCTCTCTCTCTCTCTCTTATCGCGCGATTTATAGTCGTTTGCGCGGTTTCCATCCCCGTAGATCTAAGAATAGACGTTAGATTCGATCATCACTTTGGTAGTCATGCGTGCACACGTTGGCAATTGACACTTTCAGATAAGTCACTATCTTCTGAAAAGCGAGTAACTCGACGAGTAGACGGCAGGTACCTGAAAGTGACTGATACGATTCGTTTTGTGACAAGACACAACATATTTCTGGGCATCACGATGGCGTTGTATAATTTTCAGGCAGGTAAACGCGGTGATCGACTGGCAGTTCGAGTCGTAGAAACGCATCCCTTTGACGTAGAGGCGGTTTTGACGTGGATGGACAGTTAAATTTATCCAACAGAGAATGCACGGACGATCGATCACCTTTTTTTCGATAATAGCCAATATCGCGCGGTCGCGCAAGCATGTGTTTGAATGCAATTAAATTTATGACATCAAAAAGTTCGTCCAAGCGTGATCGGTCGGGCAAACCGGACTGACATAAGTCGCGCACCGCCCACGCCTTTGTCGCTTGTGTACGCTTCTACGAAACAACAAATTGGTTTTCGTCTCTTTTCACTGGGAAAAATCGCTCTTCCTCTCTCTTTCTCTCTCTCTCTCTCTCTCTCTCTTTCTCTCGCTTGCCGCGCGTTATCGCTGTCTCAAGAGAAAAGAATATCTCACCCCTCTCGCACGATTCCACGATCGACGATAGCCGACGACGTGCCAAACGCGGTCGACTCTCGACGCGTCGCCGAGCGTGAGGAGGAACGGTATAAGGAGTAAGCCGCGTGGTCATCGATGTGGTATCGGTTTTCCGAAAGACCTTGATCAATAACAGATTATGCCGTCATCTGTGCGGGGCAGTTTAAAAATTCCGTGAAGGCTGCGAAGCCACCGTGCACGTTGGGGGTGTAGGGGTCACGGCGAGGTGGCAAGCTAGGGGTAGTCGGTTCCCGTAGCGGGGAGAATTGTCCGGTCACTGGCACGAGGGCGTGATCACCCAGACACGCGGATCGTCCCATTGGCGGCTTGCACACCCCCACCGGTCGCGCCGCCACGGGTAGTGGGATGTGAAAAAGCTCAGTAGGGGTTGAAGGGGTGATTTTTAAGCTCTCTTTAAGCCGCGCGCTCGCCAGGGAGGACACCGCTATCTCGCGTCCTACCACACACCAGCGTGGCACACTGAACGGGCCAGCCGTGAGAGCTCGTAGCCCTTCTACTTTATGAGGGGATTAAGAAAACGATAAGAGGCGCGCGAAAGCACCGCTGCCACCGAGCTTACGGGGGCCAACGGACGGCTTCCGTTGGCTGCAGCATGAATAAGAACCCACTTCGGTAAGCTTTTCAGCGGGATTCTTAGGTGACGGCTCGCGTCGCGCTAGCATCGTCCCGATAACTGACAATGAGTTCTCTCGCGACTTTTCGTTAGCGAGCGATCGAGTTTAAGTCGTCGCTTCAGAGACATGCCTCGTTACAAACGTCGACGAGATTTGTACGTGTAATAAGTGACAAAGATCAGATTGACATGTGCGATGATAGAATATCCGTATTGATAATAACTATGTCTCAATAATGTCGATAATCTTTGATTCTTCAAGATATAAGATCGACAAATTGCAACAAAAATTTTACGGTGTACATCAGCGCTGTTTTCATTTCTCAGGCAATATTTGAAAAATGCCTAACAATTTTCGGGACAGCCCTATCAAGTTCGCGCACAAGGTGTAAACGTTCGATACGGACACGTATCTTTCTCCCATGGGGATGAAATGGTGTAACATATTTTCAATTTAATAAACCCCGAAAATGCCGTGCGCGCACCCTCTTTCGACGGAACTCGCGTGCCGGGTTGGGTTCGGCTGGCGGGCGATAATTCCGAAAACAAATGAAGACTAATGAGGGGTGGGCTCCCGGCGAGATCTGGGAAAGAGTGAGAGCGAGGGAGACAGTGCGCGGGAGACGCGGCTGAAAGGGTTCAAGGAGCCGCCGCTACCCTTTAAGGGGTGAGAAATGTTAAGCTTAAACGTTACGGCCCTAGGGTTAGTTGCCTTTGCGTGCGCCTTCCATCGGAGTACTGGAGCTTTAAGGGATGATGTATTATCGAGCAGCGTGCTCAAAATGTGCTACGTACTTTGGTCGCGCCACCCCCCGAGATGCGGTAATGTGACGTCACGTGTAATATGAGCTTTTAAGCGCAGCTTTATATACGTTTCGCCGCCGAGCCGCGGCGTGAATTAAATTTGGCCACGTCGATTACAGGACTCGTTGTCGAGGTGCACGAGACTCAGAATTTTCTTACACCTCTCGTCCCGCAATTATTCACGCGACGTCGTGACGGTTTCCTCCTCAGAGCTCGAGAAGAGGATCACAGGAGAGGCGACATAAACTGTCGCCCGTAAAATTTCACACTGTAAAACCCTTTGAATCTGTCCCGGGCGGACGTGGGTTTCGGAGCGCGAGCACATTTGCGGCGATGAAACTTAAAGAGCCGTTTCAAGACGTTGATTCGAGGCGTGACACGCGGGGCGTGAACGAGCGAGAAGAGTTCTTCGAGTTTCTCGCCTTAAACCTCCCTGATCTCGCCAACCCGAGATACATAATAAATTAATTCGCGTATTTTCCTGTCTGCCTTATCTATTCAAATCTATGCAAAACAGGCGTTAAAAACGCCCTTCTTGCTGCTAAGGCGTTAACCCTTGCGGAGCTCGATCCCCCTCTTTACAGCCTCTTCGCATCCTCTCTCTGTTACTCTCCGGCTCGTTCGTCGCTCCTCTTTCCACCTCGCGTTCTATCCTCTAGCTACTGCCGGTTGGATGTCTTTGCACACCCACCCTTTGCGCCCGTTCTCATTATCGCGTCGCAGCAACCCCTAAAATGCCACCCTGGAAAGGTCCCTGGCACCGATCTAAGCTCCACGAGGAGATATTTCGAGAAAGGACGAGAAAATTGCTATCTCTCTTCCTCTCTTTTCCCCTCTCTTTCTCTCTCTCTCTCTCTGTCTCTCTCATTCTCTCTCTCTCTCTCTCTCTCTCTCTCTCTCTCTCTTTTCCTCTCTATCTTTATTCCACTGCTGCAAGATTTTCTCTTTGAAGTCACGAAAGAGCGCAAAAATGATGGATCTTTTGAGAAATTGGCGATGCTCAGCGATGCATAAATTTTCATCCCCATCGTTTATTACATATTACGATAATATGTACAAACGAATTTTAACATTGTACTATTATTAGCGCGGTACTTAATTAATTTCACGAATGCGCTAGAAATTTATTTAATTTTGTTAAAATCGTATAAAAAAATCAATTTTATTAGTACTTTAAGTTTCAGTCTTTTCATAATAATCCTCTAGCCGAACATGTAGCTTTTTCCTTTATAAGTGTAATATAAATCAAAGTATGTTACTTTTAAACGCATAAGTGTGCAATTTGGTTGAAGCTCTTTCTACACGGTTTTAAATTACGTCATTTAAGAACATTGAAGATTTGTGAATTATAATTTAATACGTATACATACGTGTTAAATGACGAGATTTAACGGTAAAAAACATATAAGAAGAGATTCGATCAAAGTAACATTTGGATTTGCAGTGTATGAATGCTAATAATAAGAGATCCTGTATTTAATGACAGTACATGTCAATTCAATTCTTTCGTATTCAGTTCCAAGTTCAGTCCAATTCTTACAAATACCAAGTACTTGTTTGCTTTAAAGTTGGCCTCAAAGTTGGTCGAGAAAATCGGCTGAGGATGAATCAATTTCAGGAATTTCGTTATCTGGCTTCCATCTCTTAGGCTTGGTGGATTTTCGTGTCGGCGATAGGAAAGGAGATGAGAGAAGAGACCGACGGCTAGAGAGAGCGTCATTAGTTACCGTCGCTTCCAGAGAAAGGTCCCGGTCACTGGACCTGATTAAAAGACGGAACATCCCGGGACGCGCCATTGCAAGACACGCGCAGGGGAAGGGGGGTGAAATGTGACGCGAATTTAAAGGATCCGCAGTGATTCGACACGGGGGTGGACCAGGAACAACCCTTAAAAAGGTTCCCTTTAAGGACCGCACGCCCGAAGGGTTGCCGCGTTCGGTTTCCCGTGTACGTGAAAGAGCCCTTTAAACGCGTCGCATCGTAAATCAGGTACGACGGTATCCGAATTCGGAGGTGGAACATAATCCGACGATCGTGATAGTGACGGATCGCGATAAAAGCAGTCGCGATTAGACAAGTCCTCATCCGACGAGACTTGAGATGAGCGCATCTTGTATTACTATAGTAACGATGATTTGTTAACGAAAAGGGATCAATAAGAGCGAAAACTATATCTGATTGAAAAAATTAGAAGAGAAATGAAGATTCGTCATTTTTTGCAAATGACAGGTCTGGCAAGAAAGGAGGTCCGCTTTAAAGAAGGTCGCGAATTTACTGCAAAGCGATCCGGGAGCGGAGCGACAGTTTTAAACTGAGCGTTCCTAACAATCTCCCCCAAATGAGGTAAAGGCCACCTTATTGAAACAGGGGTCGCGATTTTTCCGGTTCTCTCCCCCAACCCCTCTACCATCCAGCCCCCCCTCGTAGGCGGTTAATTGACACGGGAGAGCGGAAAGAGGGAGGGCAGATTGGGGCTGCGCGAGCTGTTCTTGTTAACTCGAATCTTGGCACCTCGCGATTTTTCATCCCCTTAGCCAGACTGACAAAGACGACGGCTCTCGGCCTCCCGGGAGGCGCGCGATCAGGGTGTTTCCGTTCGTGGACGATCTCAGCGACGATCTGCCGTGTGGTGTCTGTCACCGGATACATTAATTTTCTCCGAGCTTGCTGACGGGACGGTATCGTGAAACTTTGAAAAATCAACGCAGCCGGCAAGTGGGAAAGCATCGTCATTGTGATTACCGCTCGAACTTTCGTGATCTACGGGAAAGTAGAGTTCGACGTAATTCCACGAATAATTCCACGTTATCACTACGTAACTGATTTTCAACGCAAATAAAAAGTATGTTAACGCTGACGAACCGTGATTGTCGGCGATTTGCTTTTGACAAGACGAACGTGTACGCGCGATGAAAGATTAATGGCGCCGCGGGAGCGAGCAACGCGTCGTCCCAATATATATTGAGATCGACGGAAAGACGAAATTAGAGTGGCGGATATCGAAGCTTTCCTCGTGGGGAAGGCGCATTGGCCCGTCGGACCTCTCACGCAGCCCTTAGGGAGCCCATAAAATTCGTCCCTGCTGTCGAGGTAGGCCCGAGAACGAAATTTAATAACATCCCCCTAGTTACACCTCAATGGGCACCTTAACAACCCAGCACGACCAGCCAGCCACTCGTCTCTTGCGTCGACTCTTCCCGCTGCTCTTCCCTTTCTCCTTATCAACCCTCTGGCGTAGATATCTAATAAACCACCTCTCGAACACCCTTACCTAGTCAGCGATATCCGGCGGGTCGGGCGGGCAGTCGGCCGGTCGGCTTTGAAAGTTGGAAAGGTGCACGGACTGACCCTCCGTCGGACTGGACGGAGGCGCAACCTGTGTGTCGACCGGCGAACCCCCAGTGAAAGGGTTGGAAAAAACTTGCATCGCACGAGACAAACCGATCGATAGTCGAGTGCCGTCCTCGCACCCCGGCGGAAACAATGTAGGTGACCCAATTGCCGCGGGCTGCAATTTATCCGCGACGCGTGAAAATCACGCGCCAATCACTCGCGATATTCGCTCGCGATACTTCTACTGTCATTTGGATTCTTTAACACAATCACCACGCGAATCTCCGAGTCCGGACTCAATTCCCCTCGCCTGCGTCCTAAAGTGCCCATCAGTTGATCCGCGATTTGAAAAAAAAGAAGATACGATCCGAGAGGTGCTTAAAAATGATCGTTGAATCAACGTCGATGCCTCTAATTATTCTCCCCGGCGGTGTCGTCGGCGGGAAGTCGGAACGATCCGCGCGGATCAACCGAGGCGGGAGACGCAAAGAGAAGAAAAGTCGAGGCTCCGAGGCGCACCAGCGGGCGCGGCAGTGGCTGATTCTTGATTGAGTAGCGCGGGGATGCGCGGGGCTCGGATGGGAGCAGCAGCGAGAAATCGACGGCAGGACTGCCATCCCGTAGTACGCCTCGGGGATAGGAGGGAGCGAAGCTCCGTTAAGCCGCTTATCATGCCGAAACAATACACTGTCGGTGCACCAGTATCAGTACCCGACCCTCGCTGCTCCGGGCTAGTCCCATCAAAATTTGGAGCTTCGAACGAGTTTCAATGGAATTCGTGCCACCCGACTGTCCTGTCGAACCGGCCGGATACCTGAAAACTTTTTCGAAAACGCTCTGCGACGATGAAACGTTTAAACCATCGTTTATATCGCAGCGAATGCATTAGCGAAGAAAGAGTTTTCGCTGATTACGCGCTGGAAAAACAATCCACGAGTCAGATATTTTGCGATATTCGTTCGCGCTCATTCGCTGCTCGAATCTTAAGAGACGCGCGTTTGTCGTATTTAAATCACTCTCTCGTGATTTCGTGCGAGTAACGAGAATCAAGGAGAGACGAGATCCGATTTGATCGATCCGTCGATCGTTCTGCAGGAGAATATTTTTGATCACCCGTACACTCCGCGACGGCCAAGTTAAACCGCGTGCCGCGAAGTTTCTTCCCACGTGACTTCTCGCGAGCTGGGGTCACCGAGAGAGAAAGAGAGAGCGAGAGAGCGGCTTGGAAACGAAAAGGCAGAGTTCGCTCCCGGGGCTTAATCAGAGTCTTCTCCACTTAGAGGCCGGTGGCAAAACTCAATTTTGAGTCGGTGCCTGCCGACGCTCAATTTTGACACCCTTCGCAGCCACGAAGGCAGCCAGGGTAGCAGTGCGAGAAGAGGGCGTCGACCCTGGCCCGCCGAAGTTGCCGCAGTTGCTCCTCTCGGGAGGGGGCCACGGCACAGGGTTGCAAACTTAGTTATCTATCGACGGGTAGACGTGCCGAGAGGCTGAAGGTGAGCTTCACCGGAAGCAGGTACCCGCGCAAACTCGTCGCGACGAAGGCTCGGAGTATGCCCCGCGCGCGTGTCTTCGATTAGAGAACACCCACTTACCCGACAGCTTGAATCCCAATGGGTCCTGCGGGTGTCCGAAGGGGAATGGACGAGGTCCGAAGTGAAAGGGATGAAAGGCCTGGTGTCCTGCAAACGTGGGATGAATTCTCATGAATCGACGTGTCGCAGACACGAGCTTCGATCGACATTGGCTCTTGCACGTTTCTCTCTCTCTTTTCTTCCACGGCGCGTACACTCGCGGCTAAATCGGTTGTCCGCTACTTTTCGTGTGAGTTCTGGACGTCTTGTCCATTGGGAGAACACTCCTGTCGGAGGAGAGATACGCGCGATACCAGAAGTCACAGGAAAAAGCAACGAACAACTTGTCTGGCGGCGAGTGTACGTCACGCTCGTTTAATCGGACCCTCCGCCATCGGGAGACAGACTCGAGTAAAAAGTTACAACACCATTCGCGTTATCCGCGGTGGGTAAGGTTGTACTCACTTGTCTTGGAACGTGGTTCCCTAGGGCCGTCCACGGTCACCTTGATTGCCTTCGACAAGGTGGCCACCTGCGGCGGCGACGTCTGCAGCATGATCGTCAGGGTGAAGCTCTTCCCTGAAACGAAAGCGGGACGGTGGAGTTGGGAAAGAATTATCGCCCGGCGGTAAAACGAGAGACGGGAGATTCTCCCATTGGGACGATGCTCGTATGCGCGCACTTTGGCACTCATACACCGCACCGTTGCCATATCAAAAACCATAAAGGCGTGTGCGATCCTCTCTCCTTGGTCTGCGCGAACTCTATTATTCACGTCCAATTCGCTAACCGCGAACAGAGATATTCTCCAATCTCACTGGCTCGTTCGCTCTTTCTCTCCTTCTCACGATTTACATTACGTGTTGTTCACCGTTTAATTCAAAAACTCTGCAAGAAAATCTCGCGTTCGCGCGTGGAAATTGGAAAAATATATTTGTTCTTCTAAACATTATCATGTATGAATTATAACGATGTTGCAAATATCATGGTCGTTCGATCGGGTCGAAAGGAGGATGCCCGAAATGGCTCCTAAACGGACACAAATTCCATCTATACCAAAAGATAGTACATCCAATTTGCTCCTGATTCATCTTTGTCCGAAGTAAGATATAAGGTTTCAGAATTACATTATATGAATACTTATATTTCGCGAAAGTGAGGAACGCTCTCGATCATTTTTGGAAAACAATATATATATATATATATATATATATATATCATAACAATATATATATCATAACAATATTATGAGAGATATATAACCAACTCATATTCAATGATTTCAAATCCTTATTCTAGTCGAAAACTAGAGAATTGTTATTTTGATATCAGTTTATAGCATCTTTGTGAACATATATAGTAGAATACATAAAAAAACGGCCCATTCCGCTAAATAAATATAAAAATTAAATACGGAAAAAATATGAAAAAAAAAACAATTAGTTGAAAACTAAAATTATCTGGAATCGTCAGACGATTCAATTACTGTTTCTATTGAGTCAAGTGCTGAACTGTCTGATCCAGAGTTTCTTGAAAAATAATTGCTCCTTTACCAATGAGTAATCATTCAAAATTTGATGAGATTTGATAAAATTATTGAGGAGATATAAGAGCAAATGTATTGAAACTTTACCTACTTTAACCACCTATATATCTCCTTTCGGTCACTAAATACAGTAAAGTGCATATTGTCAAAATTAAAGTTAATGATTTGGTTGCTGTCTACGGGAGTTGGAGTTCTCATATATTTTAGGCATCCTTCTTTCTTGGCGGATTTGATCCAGCGCTATCGCGAAGGATACGCTTGGACGACGCGCGAAACGGCAATGCGCGCGCGGTGCGTTCGCTGGAAACAAAACACAAATGTGCCGGAAGTAAGGGGTGAACGAGTGACGCCACCGCGTCGATGTTTGTTCCCGGATAGGCTGGAATATGTTAATGCTGTGCCGGCGTTAAACGCGACCCCCTGAAATACGCGGCCGTCCGTCACGCGCGATTTCGCCGTTTTACCTTTCGACGTGTCGACAACGTTCGGCTGCGCGATAGATGAGATATCCTTCCCGCCGGTTATCTCGGAATTTTGATGCAGGGCCCGATAATGCGTTACGGTGGCTGCAATGTAATAATATTTCGAAGCATATTTCTCTCTCTCTCTCTCTCTCTCTCTCTCTCTCTCTCTTCCCCCTATCCTTAATTATTCACAATGTATTTCACATAAATTTCATAAACGACACATTTTCTTATACATTTTTCTTTATACACGATAAAAGTTCCGTCGAAATGACAGGGTGAGTTTCAATTGTGCGGGATTACAGCACGCTAGAGAGCAAGTTCCGATTCTTATTATCCGAATATCCCTCTCACTGAATTTTTCAGGCTGTTTTCGCATGTTGGCTTTGCTTTTCGTTCTCCAAGTTCCGCCGATGACCGGAAACAATATCGGCGAACGCGCAGATGAAACGTGACTCGTAACTGGCCGGGCCGTTTACTAAATTTCGATGTTTCGACACAAATATTTCAATCGATGACGCGCGCGTCGCACGGAATTCGTCACGCATTCGACGCGCCGAGCCCGAGTCCCGGTAATCGCACGTACGCGAAATAAAACGCGCGGGAGCGGCCGGTCATCGCGTCGCGTCGCGCCGCGTGGCGTCGAGTCGCGTCGCGTCGCGATGCCGAGGAAGAAAATAACGGCGGCGTCGGGGATACACGGGCAAAACAAGGCACTTACGCGCTTTTTCGCGCTCCGCGACAATAAAGTTATACGGCTTATAATGGCGTCGCCAAGTGCGGCCGGTACGTACACGCGCGTGGTCGGGTAGTTTTATTTTATGGTAGCGCGGCTGGCCCCGGTAAACGACCGCGTTTTTATGGTGAACCACGACATTTAACCGGCTTACCGCCCGTCGCCGGGCGAAATACCGGACTTTAACTTCGCCAAGGGAGCCGTGCCATTTCCAGCGCGCGCTCCCTTTCACGTCGCGCGGTGATTGGCCGCTATTTTCGCGCCGCGCCGTTTCATGGCTGTCCGTGCAAATAGTCAAAATCAATTTTGCTCTTTGCGCATCGAGTCTTTGATTCTTTGTGACACATTCGGAGGGATTCGGCCGATTTTGCCAATCTCTTCACTATATCATACCTATATAAAATTCACTTCAAGTATCCTCTGAGAGAGAGAGAGAGAAAGAGAGAGAGGGAGAGAGAGAGAGAGAGAGAAAGGGAAGTTACTTTAGTAGCATTGAATGCACGGCAATTAGAAAATCCGTAGAATAATTAATCCCTTAGGTCGTATGCTCGAAAAAGTTTTGTGGTAAAATATTAAATTCCCATTTTAATTTTTACTTAGTATTGTAAGTAAAATGTATTTTTCGTAGCTCACTCTCCTAGCAGAGATGAGCTACAAATGAAAATTAGATATACTTTGTATTCTGTTCTCCAAAATTCTTCAAAGGGAATAACTACGGTGAGATCTAGGTGCGCTTATTTAAAGAAGAAAAACCGCTCGACGAGGAATCGCGCAGTCATTTCGAGTCATCATTGAGACGGTGAACGCGGAATCTTGTGCGACAGATTTGCGTTTACCGATTTCTCCTCAGTGACTTTCTAAAAACATAAGCGTCGCTCGCGCGTTGTCAACCGCCTGTTCCATGACGGACGTGGAAGGTTTCGCCGGAGAGATTTCGCGGCTGAGAGCTAACGAGACCGAAGTTTATTGCCGGCGCGGTGTCAGGGCGCGAGAGGGCGGCGGCAACGCGAATCAGGGGTGATGGCAGGCATTTTGAGGGTGTTTATGAGGCATTATGTGTAACTCGTCGGAAGAACGACCCACCCCTCTGCAGTCTATAGTCTACCCTGCCATGATCCACCTTCGCCTAGTAGCGAGATTCTAATTCGTTGTGTATATGTGTGTGTGTATGTGTGTGTGTAGACGTGGCTGTTGGCCCATTTTCCGTCGCGATTCGCACGTGAAAACGTCGTAAGCGTTCTTTTAGAAATTTCGCAACGATCCTATCGCGGCGAAACACGGCGCTGATTTACCGCGCGATTTATGGGGTGGCGAGGGTGGAGGACGAGAAGGAGGGCTGCTGTAGAGGGCATTTCGCGATTTTTTTGGCCATTCTCTCTCTCTCTCTTTTTTTTAAGCGCTTCTTTATGCGCCGAGGATTTGACTCGTCGACGATGGTATCCTTCGTGCTCGCAAACAAGTCTGAAAAAAAGTTATTAATCCACACGTCGTACGTCACTTTTATCCAACAAAATATTGCCCGGTCGCAGACGCGATTGAGAGGATCCATAAAGATTACGTTGGCCGAGTCGACTGTAGAGAGTTTCCCGTTACGGTGGATTTTTCCAGAAGATCGTCGAAGGATTTGCTCGGTTTTCGCCGGGCGATCTGCTGGCGTCGCCGTTCCTCAGACTCGGGGGTTTCGAGATTTCACGCTGAAAAAGGGGGAGACGCGTGCGCGCGAGTTGATCTATTCTCGCGCAAAAATCGCAACGTCGATCCCGGACGTTTTTGCCGCGGTTTCTGCAAAACGCAGAGAATATTCTCGGATGTCGAGTCGCGCGATGATTCAGCGAGCCGCGCCGAGACGAGTCGGGTGAGAAATTAATTCGGGGCAAGGTTGGCTCGCGTCCACTTACGCGCCAAGAATTATGCGAGAAGACACGAGAACGCTCGCGTTCGCCCCAAGTTTACCCAGGGATCATGCAGTGTTAAAAACTCCCCTGTTTGCCGGCGAGGCGAGTGCGAGGGTTGCTCGGATCGTTATTTCGGAGTGTTTGTCGGAGTGTTTTAAGATTCTGACGTTTTGACTACCCGAATCATGGTAGAGACGCGAGGCCGAGCATATACCGACCGTGACACGCTTGAAAGGAAGCTCTCTTTTTTTTATCTGCACACGAGTGCCCGCACGAAATGTTAAACGAGCGTGTCGGGACTTAACGCGCGTCGATTATATGGATGTTAACAATTGATAGCCCCCGTGATTTTCCAGCGACGACGGACGACATCGTTGGCAACAGCGGAGTCGCGAATTGCAGAAAACGATTGTCTCGCGACCGATCTCGTGTCGGCAGCGTCGAGAGTAATGACTCTGTCGAAATTCTGTCGCAGGACGAATTTCCACGGGAGTAGAGGTACAGTTTCGTCGGCAATAATCGCAACGCCGCGTCTGCGACTCTCAGCTGCGACGGTGGGTGAGTGGTCATTGAAGCGTTTGTAAAAAGCTGCCTTGGTGTTGGCGCGACGGAACGAGGGGCGAAAAATATCGAGAAAATAAAGTAGGGAAACGTGGAATTAATATATGTGAAAGAAACGGATATGTACGTACGAGTCGCACACTGCAGACCAGAGCGGAAAATAATGTTTAATCGGTAGAAAATCTCGGCGCAGTCATCCGCCGTAGAGAACCGCGCGCGCCTCGCCCCACCGCGCCCTCGCGATCCCTTTCGCGATCCCTTACATGGCCGAGGGATGGATTTTTTAATTTTTAATTGGCAAAAAACGTCGCCGAGGTGGTCGTCGAGATCCGCCCGCACTCTCTCTCTCGTGGATTTAACTGGCGTGTGCGGATCCTCAAAAAACGTTAATATCTCCTAACGTTGAAAGTTACGTCACTTTGGAGAACTGTCCGTCGAAACATCGCCGCCTGCTAGATGCATTTTCGCGATTCCTCGTCGCGTATCGGTGTGTGTGCTCATTAAAATTCGTACTTGAATGTTCTCAGGAGATTCTCAATGAAGTCGCGTGCGCGCGCGATCGTCTCCGAAACCAATCTTTCCCGTCACGAAGTAATTTTTTATCTCGCCTCCGTGATTCGGCACTTTCCTCCAGACGAACGTCACTAATGAAGTGTCCGCGGCTCGTTATGATTCGGCGATTTAGCCAGTCGATTAATGGGAACTTTTTAGATCGCTGCCCCTCACTGCCACCTCCTCGCCCCCTGATACGCTTCAAAGCGAAGAATCGCCGATGTAGGGCGAGAGCGGTTGCAACAGCTGTTCGGTCCACCAAACACGCCGAGCCGCTATTTTTAAAAGTCGATGAAAACAAACCTTGTCGACCCTTCTCAACGATGATGACGACGACGGAGCTTTACGACTTATTAAGTCATTCCCGCGCCATGCGGAGGGCGTTTTCGCGAATATGCCTTTCGCAATCCGGCGAAAGAAATCTTTGTGTCTCCTCGACTGAACTAAGTGTCCTCGCGATTGTCGACGTTTCTTTTGTCGTATAGACAGCGATACCAAACCGATCGTCGTCGACGTCGCCTTGCGTTCTCCCGCGAGAAATACTCCCGCGTGTAATTCGCAGGACAATTTCGAGGCGTCATGTGCAGTGCGTTAGTAGCGGTCGATACACGAGAGCGCGTTTTTCTTCCGTACCGTAAAGGAGATATCGAAGATTCGGATCTGCGCTCGCGAGAGCGGCGTACTCGTGTTGCAACGTTTGTTCATACGGCCTCCTCCTTCCACGGGAGCAGAGAGGGAGAGAGCGGAGTAGAGAGAAAGAGAAAGAGGGAGAGAGAGAAAGCGGCTCCGAGCGAGACGGGGATCCATTGCGCCAGGACATCGGTCAGGATCTGGCTGTCGATAGTCGGAGCTTTCCCTCGGATTCTCGCGCTCTCTTCCTGCCTATACCTCGGCCGGACCGTCATAAAACACAGGTAACTCCGGTATTTATGCCCGGCGTTTTTACGCCCGTCGCCACCCCCGTCGTGCCACACCGCTCCCGTTCTCGATTCTCTCTCTCTCTCTCTCTCTCTCTCTCTCTCTCTCTCTCTCTCTCTCTCTCTCTTTCTCTCTCTTTCGCGCGTCCGCGCGCCACACACGCACGAGCAGAGAAACACGCATATATAGCCGCGTCTCCGTACGGCCCGTGACTCCTAGCAGTCGGAGGTTGACGCTAATCCCTGTCGGGAGCGAAAGGGGTGGCCGAGTGATATACGCCCCTGCGCCGGTATGATAATATTCCGCCGGCGCCCCCCGTAGCCCCTTGCCGCCGCGCGTAGTCGTTACACTGCAGCCGCACACCACGCAGCAGAGGAGAGATCCCTCTTTTGGGTCAGCGCGTAAGACCGAATGAAAGCGATTATAGTCGATTAAAAAGGGTCGGAGAGAGCGAGTTGCCGAGTCGGGACGGGAGAAAAAAAGGAAAACGCGCTCGCCGTTCTCTCGAGTGTCCGCGCGTCCAAGTTTTTCCTCGACCTCATCCGTCCATGTCCACGTGGAAATCAGCCTCGGCAAACAATTGACTATTGTCCGCGAAAAAGCGGACAAGCCGTATTTCACCGGGATGAGCACCGCGTGCGCGAGCACACACGTGTGCCGTTAGGGCTCGCTTAGCAAAAGTTTGCTTAATGTTTAGCTGTATTTTTTAAATTGAAGCACGTTCACAATCGAAGCGCCATCCGTCGTCGTCGTTCACTTTCGGATTTTATTTCCGTGAAATGATTTATTCCTCGAAACTACGTTCCGTGTCTGACTTCTGCAACCCTTTGCCGAACTTCTGTAGTTCCCCAACACACGGAGGAAACATTGCAGAGAAAATTACAACGAAATTCGGTAATCTTGGACTGTACAGCAGATGTGAGCGAAAGTACTGTGTATTTATTGGAGAATGTTGTGCACGCTCGGCCATTTATTACAAAATTATTACAACTGCTTCAACGATTCCTTTTGTATCGTATATTCGGTAAACGGTCAAGTTTGCTATTTCTATGGTAATTTACAATGTTAGTACAGTTCAGAGCTTTACAGAAGCCTTGATAATCAAAAATATTGTGAAATAAAATATAATCTTGACGTGATTGTCACTACAATATTTTCTCCGTGTCACCTACCATTACACGTTCAGAAAAGAGAAAGGAAAACGAGAAAAAGAGAATGCGTTTGCGCATCGTGACGAAATAATTACGGGATAATTACTTCAATATTTGACGCGCTACTTCTTGCTCAGTAAAATATCGAGGAATGCATGAAAATTTTCCGTTTCACATTTGTCCCATTTTCCGCCGGAAAATTTTACAAACCGAGTCCAAGATCCACTCGGCGGATGGACCGGGGAGAGAAATAGAGAAAGAGAGAGAGAGAAGAAAAAGGAGAAAAAGAGAGAGCAGTACTCTCCTTCGGTTTCTTCGACGGCGATTCAACAGCCGTCCCGCATCAACGTCGTCACCCATCTCGACCACGATCAATCCTCCTCGTCCGCATTCGCAATATTAAATTGGCCTGACAAAGCCCGCGGGCGAGCGCGAGACAAATATTTGCAGCCGAAAAAGTCGGCAGCGCGCGCTCACGCGTTCGCGGGATGCGTGCAAAACAACAGGGTCAAAAAAGCGAGTGGAACGCGTGAGGAATCTGTATATAAAATGCACTCGGCTCCTCGCCTCGGTGGTATTATGCAGCGATACGCGCGACGTGACTCGCCGACAAACATCATAAATTTTCGATTTATTCCACGAGATCCGTGTTTGCCATTTCTTCTGTAGGTAATAACGATCACCTGTCATACATAGCGCGCCGTCCGCGTGTTTATTCCTTTCTTCCTTTTTTTTTTTATTTTTTTCCTTCAATTCTCCCTGTGTGTCTTTCTCCCTCGCCCCCGTCCATCCCCCCTTGTGTCTGACGCCGAGCCGCCGTCGCATCGCCGATGACGGGCGCATTTAATTTTCACCCGGTACATATTTCCGCCCGCGCCTCGATGGACGAGATTCGAGTTTATCTCGACGCGGAAATACGCCGGCGTCAGACGTGCGGAAAGAAAAATCCGCCGATCCGGCGATCGCGCGATACGCGGCGCGGAACGATCTTGCGTCACTCTCGTATGGAGAACCTAGAGGCAAATCGTTGCATACCGGTGGTAGTTAGGGGCTGCCCGTAATACAGTAATGAGGGCTTACTGCCATGGAAACCAAAGCCGCTTACAGCCAACCACTCTACCTCCATCTATATCCCCCGCGCGCACTCCGTCCCTCTCGCTCTCGCGCTTTGCCCCGTGCCATCCCACGTTTTCCTATATATCCGCGATATCCTCATTCGCGAGTCCCGCTAAAAATTCCGGGAACCGTTCTCCGCTCTCTATTGTTCCGCGACGAGTATCTCGGATCTCTCTTCATTTCTCGAGTGGAAGAGGCCAATGTGCGGGCAGGACAGACAGACAGACCGACCGACCGACCGAGCGAGCGACTGGGTGTGCTGAAACGCCGATGTTCATAAGTCGATGTCGATACTCGGGTAGAAATACGGCGACGAAATTATTACCGATGAACGCGCCGGCAATAATTCCCGACTCCGATCGGAAATGATTGTCGAAATAAATCAAGCGAGTCCGCGGCGAGAAGAGAGCCCGCCGGTTTAGGGTTTACCGTCGAAAGCAGCGCAGAACCCGCCGATATCGCAAACCCCGCAATTTCCTTTTCCAATTTGCCATAAACAAGTCGACCACCCCCTCGTTAACCGGGGAACGCCCGTGACTGCTCTCTCTCTCCCCCGAAAGTTCGACGTCGTCGGGCGGAACGAGGAAAGGGAGAGCGACAGAAGAAGGCGAACGAGAAGAGGACGGTGGTGCAACTCGGTCGAATTAAAGGAATTAAAGGACGCCTCGTTACTCGTATCTTCCGATTCCCTACCTCGACTTCAGAAAGGGGAGAGGCGGGAAGAGGAGAGCGTAAAAAAGAAGGAAGAGAGGATGCTGAAAACTTTGCTCCTTTCCTGCGATCTAGGCCCTCTTGTGCCGCCTCTTCCCCAACCCTTCGGCTCTTCTTCAAGGAACGAACGTTTGCATTAACCGTTCGTAATGGCAGCGATTATTAGGGCGCATTATTCAGAGGTCTCGGACCCCAATTTTTTTCTCCCCTCGCCGCGCTGCGTGGCGCCTTCTCGGACAAGAAGAAACGGCTGAATTATTGAAACGCGGAGCTGGGAATTAAAAAATCTCCGCGCGCGCGCCCCTTGCTCCCCGTCGGCGTGGCGCGGTGTGGCGAGGCGGGCGGCAGTCACAGGAGATACCGGGTCACGGTATTTGTCGCGTGAATTAAAAATGAGGACGGAACGAGGGGCCAGGTGGTGGCCCGTGCTTGGCTTTCGACGCGGGAAAAACGAGGCCATCAGTCGGGGCACCACCTTAATGTAGCGTAGTCTGAATGATTTAAGGCGCCGCGCACTGCAAGGAGGCGAACGCGGAAAAACCGATCGAGCGCCCGACGTCACCCGGTGGAAGTTATTTCGGTGGAGCGAATAAAAGGATACAAAGGGTGGGGGAGGACCGTCGCGAGTAATTGGACCGTTGTATTTCGAGTGCTATTAAGTGTACCTTCGCCGGAGTGTTCTGTCATGTCGATGCTGCAATCACGATGACAACGACGACAAATTACGCGTCATCTCATTTGTTATGATTTACGCTATTACGTGATAGATAGAGTAGCAGGGGGGGTTTGAGAATGCAGTTGACGAGACTCACCTCTGCCGCTCCTGCCGACGAACCTGAGATCATTGAATTTGGCGACCTGGTTTTTCATTAGAGCGGTAGAATTCCGCAATTCCGCGCAACAATTCTCATCGTTCCCGGCGCGCACTGTCACGAGGGTACCGTCTCCCACCTCGCCGAGGGCTACCACCTTGAAGGCTACCGGTAGGGTCTTGTTCGATCTCCAGTGCGACGGCAACACCGTGCAGACCACATGGGGGCAACCTTATGTCACAAGATACAAAAGCTAAATTCTCTTTCTAATCATAGAAATTTATCTTTCTTATTCATCGATTTTATTGGAACGACACACCAACTTTGCAGAACCGACAATCGGTTTCAAATATGCACACAATTAGAAGAAAAAAATTGTTTACTAATTTAAGAAATACTTGGAAAAAAATTTATCTCTGACAAGGGTGATTCAAACTTTCTGGTAGGCTGAGAGTTGCTGAAATTGTGTCGATCTCCTAAATCAGTATCTCATCAATCGTACCCATCTTTAATGCTGGTAACATGCACAAAACAAGATATAATCTGAAGGTCTTTCGTGTATATTCCTCATTGCTTATTTATTTCTCATTTTTTACCGTTAGATGTTGTTTATTTTTAATGATAATAAAATTCGATGAGATATGATTTAGGAGACTCGCACGGCAACTATCCTCTAAATCACGATCAGCCGTCACGATTGTGACACTGAGAGTACGCAGAAAACGAATACTGTGGTGAAATTGTTCTCGCACTATTTCTAACTATGAGTTTACCTGTGCGGACAAGTTCTCCCGGGTGCTCCGCGAGCAATCCGTCTAACGTTCTCTCGGCGAGCAGGTCGGCGGTGAGCGCATAATCGGACAGGTGATTTCCGCTGACCGAGCCTTGAGGAGGTACCTCGTTGGCCAGGTGCATTCTTCTCTTCGAGGTTGAGGCCCGGGCCTTCCGTATTCTAGGCCCGGATATTTGGCTCACCGGATTCGCCTGATGAGCGCCGCGCACTGACCTAGGATCGGGATAGTCTAAGCCGGGCGGCCGATCCTCAGGTCGAGCATCTCGCGAAGGATTCGTCATGAGAACGTTGTCATCGGTACCTTCGCGCGTCAAGACGTCACCTTCCCCTGCGAGCTTCCCGAAGGAGTTCGGCTCAATTGTTTATGTCTTGTCGTTGCTCGGAGCTTAGACGACGCGACCGTCCACGCGAGCCGCGAGAGGATCGAGCTTCCAGTCAATTCCGCACAATCGGTTTCGATGTGATGCTCGGTCCGACGATGACACGTTGGGCTTTTCGCACTCTTTACCTCATTCCACTATACACGAGCGGTTCGCGGTTTTCGCGATTTCTTCGCGGTTCCCTACGAAGTGGGACTCTCGCGCATTGATCGATCGCTATGTTCGACGCGCACGAACGATCGACGCGCAGAGTCCACTCGACGATGAGAACCTGAGAACTTCACAAATCGACCTCGCCGATGGCGAGGGGCGCATTACGATTGCACCTCGTGCTGTCTTCTTCCAAATGGGAATTTGTTTTCCTCGGGATCTCGAACACGCGCGATCTCTCTCCCTCTCTGTTTCGGCGGCTTCTTCGGCCCCCGCGAACCCTAAGCTACTCTCCTTTGATCCTTATTTCATTATTCTGTCGCGGGGCCGCTAACACAGCGGGGGCATCCGTTTGCAAATTCTTCTTCGTCTCGATTGCCAACTCGCAGAGAAAATTCGTTTTATTGGAATCGTCGGCGGCAATCTCGACGACCCTTGACCTCCGCGTATTCCCGATTCTTTGATCGAGTCTTGCTGCCTGCCGCAGTCTTGTTGCCCGTCTTCTTATCAACGACGAAGGAACACCAGTGGTCGCTCGAAACACACGGATTCGCTCGTTGCGCTCCGCAAATCGGCCTTTCGCGGAGACATACTCGCCGATGACATACTCCTCTCGTCGCGCGCGTGTTCAAAACACTATCTCGCACCGGGCGGTCCTCGTGATCGCCAGCATCACGTTCGCGCACTGTCTTCTTCGCGTCGGTACATATTTTCACTAAGATCTTACACCGTTCCTTTGCTTTTTCCTGCTCCTTCTGTCCCAATTCGAAGCTCGCGTTCCGCGTACGCGGCCACCGTTCACCGCACCAAGTTTCGCCGAACTTTGTCGAGATTCGCGCGCGGCATCTGCCACGTGTATCTCTTTTTCTCTCCCTCTCTTTCGCTCTCACTGATCGAAGTCTTGATCAATCACAGATCATCGATAACGGTGGAGAATCCCCGAGAAGAACGGCGACGAGACGCGAGCCCGTCGAGTCGATCACGGTTCGCGACGGTGCATCCCTTGGTGCGCGCACATCGATACCGATCCAAAAAATTGGCGAGGATCGCGGGAAGCCGTCGGGACGTTTCCTACGTCGGGTGACAGTCGTCGTCGTCGTCGGCGTCGCGGTGACGATGATTCTTCACCTGGCCGTTGCTTCGCCGGGGTGGCAGGGCAGCTTCTACGAGGAGGTAGGATAGGGTGTTTAACTCGCGCGGTCTCGTTTCGGTTCGGCGGTGGAAGATGGCGGCTTCTGCGGTGGAGCCGCGCGGTGTGGTTGCGGTGTATTTTTGAGGCTGCCGCCCCCAGCCACCACCGAGACCACCCTGGGTAACCCTCCTCGTCCCCTCTTTTCGTCGCCCCCGCAGCCCTCCGCGCGTCTCTTCCACGCCGCCGCCACCGCCGCCTGCCCCCACGGTACCCGGCTGGTGGGGGGTTGGTTTTTCCAAGCGGTGGGGAAAAATCTCTCTCCCTCTCTTTCTCTCTCTCTCTCTCTCGCTCTCTTTTTCTCTCTCTTTCTCACGCACACACTTTCTCTCCCTTTCTCTCTTCACCACCGCGCGCACAACCCCGCGGGACTGCCGCCGCGTTCCTGACGATACTCCCGCCGATGACGACTCACGCGAACTGCACTAACCTCGTGTGCCGTCTTCCGGACTCCGTCGTTGCGCCGGACGACGGGGGACTCGCGGGATGTTCAGGGGATGACGAGCTGCCTGAGATGAATCTCGGCGCGTCTTGCCGCGCTGCATGATTGCGGCGCAAGATTGACACCCGGGTCAAACGATATGATTTCAGCGTGGCGCGCGATCGCGACGCGGTCCCCTATGAACCGCCGGATCGGATGGATGAAATCCGAGCGCAGCGCGAGCGCGAGTCTCACCCCGTTTCTTCGTTCGTCGACGGTGGCACTCGTGGCAAGGCTAGCTTCTCGTCGAGTGTGCACAATTCGAATTGTACCGCGAACTCCTCACATCACGATAATTCCGCTCTGCATTTCCGCAGCGCCATAATTACACTTCAAGCGCAGTCCGTATACGTGTGCTTCTTCACTGATATATAATCGGGAAATATTTACTTCTGCAATTATTTACGAATTGGTTTTGTTCACCCGATCACGTGCAACGGCCGTCACGGACATTTCGATGGACATTCCTCTGGATGTACTACGCTGTAATCATTCCCGCGTACGCGAACAGACGCAGCTTTTCCAGGCCAGACAAGTCGTTCGCGCAGTCTTTGCGGTCTGTCAAACGAAGGTCCGCTAATTAATCCTCTGTCCGCGCGCGTTGGTCGGAAGTGGAAAATATTTTCGACGATATCCCGCGCGATCTCTCGTCTGTCGGGCGGCTTTTCGCCGGCTGATTTCTTCCCGCTTCCGTCGCTCAACGACCTCCCCGCGCGAGACTGCGAAACGACACTGGGAAGAAAGGGAAAACAAAGACGGTAGAAAGGCCCCTTGTGTAGTTGCGTTTAGCAGCGAGGAATACGGGGGTTGCGCGATGCTCGGGGATTCTCGTGAGGGTGCGGGCGAAGAACGGCACGGTCGAAACGAAGACGACTGGCCAGGCGGAGAGAAGAGGAGAAACTGTTTGCCCTAATGCACAAGTAGTCATCCCCAGATTCAGCGGGGATACCGACAATGTCTGTTGTAAAAATAGCGCATCTCGTATCGCTCGTCTCTTGGCGCGAAGTTCCGCGCGGAGCGCCCGGCGCGCGTTTCACGTGGAATACAAACACAGCGAACACCAAACATAGGCGGGAGTACCGTCGGGAACGCGACTTCCTCTTCCCGTTCGTTTATCAATTACACGGCGAAGATCGTGTCTCCGTGGTCCTCCAAGATCCTCAGCCACCGATCTTTCGCGCGACGGAAACGGCCGCTGCAGTCAGCCGACGGAGGGTTCGTCGGGCACAATGGAGCACGACGCGCGAATTGCAACACGTCACTCTTTCGAGAGACAACGCGGGACTATCGATCATGACGTATCTGTACCGAGCCGTATGTAGAACCCCTAAACGAGACGACGAGCCCCCTGAATCCTACACCCCTACGAGGAACAATGCGACGCCTCCGCGTCCCTAAATGTAGACCTTCCGAGATGCATTTCGTCATGCGTAGGCTCTTTCACTGCGCGCGTGAGAAAGAAAGAGAGAGAGAGAGAGAGAGAGAGAGAGAGAGAGAGAGAGAGAGAGAAAGATGACATCCCCTGCTTTCAATTACATCCGCTAGTATTTTGGGGCCCCGCCGCTTATATTTCATTATTTGGTGTCGCGTGTTCGCGCCAAGATTTACGAGAGCCACGTTGAGAGAGGGGCAGATAATGTTTATCGCAGCTCTCGATTGCAAAGTTACCGAGTACACGTGATCGAGGACGAGTTGTGAATCGCATTGAAATGTGTCGCGTAGCGTCGCGTCTTCGTGGCACGCACCCCGCGTATCAAGTCAAGGGAGATGTCATTCGCCACAGGCAAGAGTTTCACCCTTCGATCGAGGGCGTCGGGAAATGTTTGGGGCTCGTGCGACATTATTTTTGAATTTTTGTCTCGCGGGAGAGACCGAGTGAATTAGGGTGAGAATGTCGCGAGTGCGAGCGGCATGCCAGAGAGGAAGGGACACCTCGGGCCGGTTTAATCCTTGGCGGACAGATAGTGTTAAAAAGATTGCGCGTGACACGTCGAATGTTGCGGAATTGCAAGTTTCGTATGCAGCGCCGACAAGACCACGACACGGGCAAGCGGATGTAATCACGATTGCATTTCGGTGTGTCGTAATATATAGCTTCACTTGACGGGACACGCCTCTTTTTTGACGATTAAAAAGCAAGAGCCGACAAAAAATATCGTGGTGTTTTGTATTTTCTGTATTTCCGATGATAATAAGATTTATATGTTATCACAACTCTTTCTCTCTTCTCTCTCTCTCTCTCTCTCTCTCTCTCCCTCCCTCCCGGACATCTATAACATTACATTCATTTTATTCTACGCGTTTAAATCTAATATAGTCCTCCAATATCTGTTGACGAGCACTGTAATCATACGATGTGCGCGCAGCAACAAAATAAAAACTCAATAACTTCACTACCGCGCGCAGTCAAAACGATTGGTTTCTGTTTGCGTTTCGGCTATTTTTTTCGCCGGCGTCCTTTCGACAGTAACGATATTCTATAACCCGCATCCGACATGGTTCACATAATCGGTGAATCGATGAATGCGCGACGATTATCGACGCACTTTTCCGTTCAAATTAATTGGACCAATTATCAACGCTGAACAATTATCTGCTGGCGACCAATTAAATCGACAGGATTTGTCGACGACGTGTTGCCCGGCAAGGAATAATTGGAGCTTATGCGTTGCCGAAAAAAAAGGAGAGAGAGCGCGAGAGAGAAACAGAGAGAGAGAGAGAAAGAGAGAGAGGCAAGGCCGGTAAAAAGCGCACGATATTCAAATAGATAAACGGTTTAACCAAAAATTTGCGAAACAGTTCCGCCGTGACCGAGCGCGATCATTAGTCGTACGAGAAAAAAAAGAACGCCAATGCTTGCCGGGAACAATTAAGCATGTGATATCTTAATTAATGTTTGGAATTTGCATTGGCGTGCGTTTGTAGAAAAAGAGATTATTTTCAGCTTAAAATTCACCGTCGCGATCGTCGCACAAGCAGTCGTGTAAATGACGATCAATCGATCGAGGGATGATCCAAATATCGAGGTGTCTCTATCCCTGCGCGCACAACAATCATCCCCTGCTTCTTGACGAAGCATTGCACGCCCACAGCACTGACATTTAACCAAGGTCACACTGGTCGGGATGCGAGGAATCACAGTCGCGAGGTTCGCGCGCGTATCACTTCCTGGCAGTCCTCCACTTGCGGCGCGCGATATCACCCCGTTGTAACCGGCCCGGGTGCGCCGTTAGTCGTGATTTCTCTCGCCAGTTCGCCGCGGCACTTCGATTTTCGCGGGCGCAAAAAAGGCTCGTCGCGGCTCGGCGCGACGGATAGCGCGAGCGAGCGAGCGAGGGCGAAGGGGATGACGAACACAGCAGGTTGGGAGGTGCAGGGGCAGGGTGTGTATGTATGTGTGTGTGTGTGTGTGTGTGTGTGTGTGTGTGTGTGTGTGTGTGTGCGGATAAGCGCGACGACGGGGGTGTGCTCGCGTTGTCGAGCGGAGGTAATCACACACGGTTAGCACATGTTACCCGGGGGGCAATTCTCGAAAAAGGCCGCGGGTCGTTCCAGACGACGTCTTGCGAGGGGCGAGGGCGCGAAGGGGGTGAGATCTCGGGGCCCTCCGCGGACCGGCGGCGGCGGCTCGAGGGGGATCTCCACGGAGGGATGTCGGAGACGGTAGAGGCGGCGCCGGAGGCGGGCCGCAGTTTTTCAGGAGCTTGCGCATGCGGGTACTTTTATACCCCACCAGCGACACCACCGCCTTGGCGTTCTTAGAGGCTTCTTAGGGTGAGTTTTGTCCCCTACGAGGCGCACTCCGACCTACCGCCACCCACCCGCGCACCGCCGCACGGTTGTCGCGGAGAAGTCGGCGGATACCTCGGGTGGCTCGAAGGGGTTGCGTTCTGCTGCTACGCGGTGCTTGCGGCCGTTGACGACGACGACGACGACGACGGATCTCATAGTAACGCCGTTCATCATTTTTCCGTGCGCCGATTCATCATCGCCTCGATCCCGATGATCTTCGGGAGACGATCGGGTCTCTGGTCGATGAGACCGAGCGGACTGTCGTTAGGGATCGATCTTCGGTCTCATGGTCCACCGCGGACATGATAAAGACGTAAGATTTCCCATGGTCGCGCGTTCTCTCCGGCTGATGTTTTCTGCGCGCGCGAACCACGTTAGGCTCCGAAGTCTCTCTAATGGAGGTAACGCGATTATCGAGAGAAACCAACGGAGTAGCGTTAAGGAGTTCTCGGTCTGGAGGTAGCTGAAATCGGATTAGCAGTGAAACGAGTAATCGGCACCGGGGGCTTCTCGTCGCGCTCTCGTCGCGTTACCGGACACCGTGTCTCCGCGACGGGATCTATCGGGATGACGAAGTAGCGATCGTTCGCCACGCGGCGACGTTCTTGCGCCGTCCCGATGAAAAGAGGGTGCTCGTAAATGAGAGAAGATTTTTTCAAAATTGTTTACTGATACGGTGACGTCGCTACGTAGTTACGAGCTGCGGGGCAAGTATTCATTAGCCGCCTTCGTCCCGTTGTGCTCCGACTATTTTACTGTACTTCGCGTTCTCCTCAGTAAAAAAAGAAAGCAAAAAGATTGCAGAAAGA